TGCTTACTTCCTCAAGTCTCTTTTGCAACTGCACTATGAAAGTCTGAGTCCTAACACCATTTGTTTAATGAAGAGTAAATTTAATGCTTTTCTTTTAGTTAAGCAGGTATGAACTTGTCAAGTTTGCAGACAAGGTGGCACATGCCCATTTTTAACTGTCTTGAAGTAAGAAAACATCCTCTTACAATAAGGGTGACTCATCTAGAAATGTAGTTAAGATCAGGCTAATACAAAACATTCTAAAAAATTTCCATTAGGACTACTGCCCTCAGGGTAGGTATCTTTGAACTCTAGTTCCAGCATGTAAACTTTAAATGGTGCTGCTCAGTAGAAGACTGTAACTCAGTCTTTCTTTCTTGCTCCTTTTTCTTTTCTTAAGGGCCCTTCCTCTGCAATGACCTTTTCACAAGAATGTGCACTTGCCCCCACATTTGGCTAAATAAGTGTTTACTGATGTAGATACAATTATGTTTTGCAAGAAAAATATAATGCCTCCAAACTGTTTATGACTGTTGGGAGCTATGCACTGTGTTTTGTTTTACATGAAGAACCCACATGGCTTTTTCTGGAACAGCAAACAAAATGACATAAGCCTTGTTCATCAAAGGACAAATATCTTATTGGAGGTATGCTGTATTTTCATGGGCATATGCATTAACCAATGTCTGCTCTCTGCTGTGAGGCAAAGAAACAGATTGACTGGAAAGGATGCACTCCTCAGAATAGTTACTGTCAGGTGAAAACAACCGTCTGCGTTCTCTTCTACCACAAAATCTTCCTTCCTTTCTTGTATACTAATACTGGCAGGGGCAGCGTCAAGTTTGGCTTTTGGGTTTTGTGGTTACAGAGGAATGGTAAACAAAAAATTGTTAGTTATTTTAGGTTACCTGTGTTATAGGAATAACAATTTCAACTCACTTCTGTTGAAGATAAATTAACTAGATGCTTGGCAGTAGTTATTTCATTTTTCTTGTGTTTACAGTTGTAGAAACATCTTTCTTATGAAACACTAAAAATACCTGGGAGAAGCATAGTGAATTTCTAGACTATTGCTATGTAGAAGGTGAAAATGGAATTCTGATAAATTAATTTACTACTTTGGATTCACTGCAGACTTCAAAGGTATTTTGATGAATAGGATGTGCTTCCAAAATAGTAGGAATTGTATTGACAGACCAAGAATGGCATGGTATGAACACATGTTTACAAAAACAAGTGTATGTATACACATATATGTGCAATTAAGAGAAAAAAATTCATGTCTGTAGGCTAAATACTGCTTTCCATTTAGATGCGTTTTCTTTCATATGGTATTCATTCCCTATGATATGATATTTATGATCTTTATTCAAACAAAGTATTATTTTAATTGCTGCTGTTTGTGGCCTGCTTTTCAGGGTAAACTTTTTAAGTTATTTGTTGCATTACACTTAATATGTTATCTAACTGACATAGTTCATAAACATGCATACATTTTAATATATAATTTGGGTGAGATCCTAGGATAAAGACTGTAACAGGTGTTACTGGATAATAACATGATCTAAAGCTTCAGGATATCAAAGGAGGGCACAGGAAAATGGAAAATAAAGTTTTCTGCTGGAGAGAGAAGGAGGTTTAATTGAACAAATTCTGGAATCCTGTGTCAGATTTATCTTTAATAAAGCAAATTTCCTGATGAAGAGCTTAAATGTATAACCTAATAGAATCTGGCAGTGTAAAGTTTTAACTGTTTTTAATTTGTGCAAAAAGTATGCTCTGAATGGATGTTAAATGTGATGCAGTAGGGGGAGGGTTACTTTATAATCTGGTAAAGCTGGAAGGAAGCTGAGAGTAAATGGGAGACATGTATTGGGAAGAGGAGGTTTCCAGGGAAATAAGAAGTTTAAACTAAAACGAGGAAGAGGAGGCCAAAGCAAGGTAGAGATTTTGATTGGTAATGTAATAGTGAGAGAGGAGGAAAAAAAGGGTTGGGCAGATGAAAAGGAAGGTAAGGTGTGAATGCAGGGAAGAAAAGAACAGTGGTGCATGGTGGGAGGCTAAGAGGTAATAGGCAAAAACTGAACCAAGGAGAGTTCCAACACAGTAAAAGGGAAAGCTTTTTCACCATGAGGACAGTCAAGGAGTGAACAGGTTGCCTCGAGAGGTTGTGTTGTCTCCCTTCTCAAAGGTATTCAAGGGGCTAAGCATTCAGGCCTGATCTCATGAGTGATCCTGCTTTGAGCAGGTGTTTGGTCTAGAGACCTCCTGAGGTCACTTCCAGCCTGAATTATCCAGCAGTTTGAAGAAAACCAAAATTTTATTAGTTGAGTATTAAAATTCTTTGTGGCATGGTTGAAACGTGGCTTTCCAGAATGACTGTTTTGTTCACCCAAACAGACTTCTGAAGACCAGGAATGAAATACGGCATGCAGTTAGCTTTACTGGCAGTCAGCAGAACTCTTGAACTCCATGGGGTTTGAGCCAGGACTCCAGCTGTGCTTACTGGGTTCAGTGTGATTACACTGAGTGACAGAGAGCTCCATCAGCTTACTGGAGGTGGGACACAGGAAGGCTCTTCTCAGCCTTCTATCCCACAATACAGAAAAGGTGCAGACTGTCTAAAGTAACACATACATCTTTTTGCCCACTTGAAACAGTTGGGGTTGAAATGGAAATTAAGTTTTAAACTTCAACTAGAACAAAACTGTTGTTTTGCTGTGATGATTTTATAAAAAATGATTTCCTAGACTTCCTTTATTAATTTTTCTTGACTGTTTAAAAGCATGTAGCATCTCTTCAATGTGTGTATTATTATTATTTTTTTTCATACTTTATTAGTAGACTTTCCCCTATAAATTTACATTCCTCCTCCAGATTAAAAGTACATTTTTTCAAACTTTTTTCAATTTTTCTTTCTTCTTTATTAAATTCAACCTGCAAATCTTAGTTGCTTTTTCAGTAGTCATCTCTCTCATTTACATTATGGGAAATTAGAGGTTTAAGGGGTCTGGGGGAGCAGTGAGATGGGATTTTATGGTTTCAGTCTTTGAGCAGCTTCTTATGAGGTTGCTTTTGACACTTGCTGTTGATAACTGACTTTTTAAAAAGAACTGTCTGAGCATAAGTTATCGTGCCTTTTTGGATTCCACAGCCTTCTTCCACATGTGGATTTTTGTAATAGCTCCAATCTGACCTTCTTCATTAAATTAATTAGTTCAATAGAATCTGAGTTCTTGAAATCCGATATGCCAGACTGGTTTATTACGTACATCTATTTTGTATGTGCAGTGTAGCTGCATTCCGTGTACAGTATTAAATTCAAGTGGCTCTTGTTCTGATTTCAATCTACCCACCACTTTCTTTCTGCTGATAAGAAATTAATTCAGTATGGTTTCCCAGTGACCCATTTATTAGACTGTAAAGTTATTCTGTATTTAGTAGGAGCCAACTTTGATGCACATTCAATGTATTTTTTTGCCCAGTGAATCTATGGGAAGATAATTTCTCCCACAGTTGTGGTATCCTGTGATTTCCAGCCCCGGCCATGCATTTTTTCAATTCTCACTTTCATCTGGTTGTGCTGATACACACGCAGATGTTTATTGTTCTCTCTCTTTCTTCCCCCCTCCCCATTCTTGCTAACTTAATACAAAGCCAGTTGCTACCATTAGTTTCATTGTCACATTATAAATACTAAACATAATAAATGCCCGTGATTCATAAAATTCTTGCAGCGGTCCTTTGGGATCCTCAGTGGTTATTTCACTTTTCCTGCTCACAAAAAAAATGGTTTTAAAATCACAAGTCATTTTCCAATAATGTTTATAGCAGCTTTAAAATTAATTTTCAGGTCTGTATGTCTGTTTATAAAGAAGCCTTTACAAAATAGAATGTGAGATATTTACTTAAGTAATGCGTCTGATTGAACTTAATGTGTGGTATGCAATTATAAAACAAAACTTTCCGCATGCAACTAATATGTATCTTTATATTCGAATTTGCTTGAAGAGCAGTTAGGCCATATTTTTGTAATTTTTGTTATGCCTTTCACAACTAATTTGTGGTGGTGATTGGTATATTTCTGTCTCTGAAGCTTCATTGATGTCTGCTTTAAACATAATTAGACTTTACATTTGTGAAATTTCTAGCGGCGCATGGAATGGCTGCCCGAAAGACATTGGAAATCTTATGTTTTGCTCTGCATATTAATTCAACATCCAAATGATCAATTCCTGAATTAGAAGTGAGAGTTCCAGGCTTGAATTATTTTTACTTGTTTGCTTAAAGAAAGTGGTCACTGAATCTTGAAACTGTAGTCAATGACAAGAAATATTTTCTGAAATATTTGCTTTATTGAGGAGATCGGGAAACAACTTGAAACTATTGTTCTTGTTATCAACAAAATACTGTATTTTACCCCTCAGAAGTAAAAGATGTGAGAAGTTGCCCATGCCAAGATCTTTGTCATTGACTCTCAGCTTCTTTGGTATTAAGATGAACAGTTGTATCTGCTGTCTTCTGGAGCAGTATCTTCAATGCCTTTTTTTTTTTTCTTATTATGTAGTATGTATTGCTGGGAAGAGGAATTTTGCTCCTCTCCAGGCTTTTTTTTGCCTTTTTTCAATATTGCTGACACTGCATTTAGTGATTTATCGAAGTGAGGAGTGGTATGAGGTTTCCAAAAAGTTTTCTCATCTTGTGTCAGTAATGTGGACCTGAGCAAACACCTTTTCATAGAATTCCCTTATTCAAATAGGCTTTAGGGACAGGCCTTATGTAATGTTTTCACATTGTACAAAATAATATAAAATATAATATGAATTTTACATTTGAGATGGATGTTACATAAATTATGTAGTTACATTAACTGTGCCTTGAAATAAATTGTCTTAAATTTACAGCTGTTGAATAGATTGTCAAGAGACAGCAGTATATGCATTGAAAACTATGTTTAGCAGATTAATAATTTTGTTTTATTTATCTTTGCCTGAAATACTAAGGTTTTTTGTTGATCACAGACAACCTAGCACAAGAAGTTTGTGTTATTACCAGTGTGAAGGAAGATGTGGCACAAGTAAGTTTTCTCCTTCATGAATCTCTGAAAAGCCGAATAAAAGTAAGTACAATTCTATGGCTCTAAACTGTATGATTACTTTAATGTTTCTGGTTGTCACAACTCATAAGAAATGGTCTAAATAATGTAAATACAGGAACTGAGACCTCCTGTGTCACTGTAGTATTTATTAAAAGGGATTAACACCAGGTGTGGAAGTTACCAAGAAAGAAGCATCTTCTGCCCAATTATGCTGTAGAGGGGGATCTTACAAATCCTCTTAAAATTTATATATTAGATTAGAGGAGAAATTGGATCCAGGCATCAGAGAAGCCATTTTCTTTAGATTTTATGAATTCAGTAAGCCCCAATTGTTACAAATATGCTACAGAGAAAATACTTTTGGTACTTTGAAGTCTGAATTAAAGTCTGAACCAATTAAAGAGTACGTTGTATTATTGCAGAGCTGCAAATGCAAAGACAAATTAATCAACCTTTTTCAGAAAGGTAGAGGTACATTTTACTCATAGTGAATGCTCATTGAAGTATTTGCAAAATGCTAGCAGAGTTGAGTAAGATCTTTTCTTGTCTGAATAGCTCCATAATGTAGCAGAAGTATCTGTCCGTTTTGCTAAAACCAAATCCATTGCTATTTTTCCTTTTTTCTCTCCATTTAAACTCTTGTGCAATTACTAGGCATCACTTACCCATGCTAGGAAAAAAAAGTAGTTATTTAAGTGTTGTTTTACCTGTATCGATTTATTAGTTTTGCATATAACCACATTAATCATAACATGAGAAGCACTTCCAAGCCTGGAAGTAAAGTCTAAGAATGCCCTTTTCAGAGAGCAAATTGGAGAGTAATTGATCTAAGACTCTAATTGGGAATCATTCAGTCAAGTACGTATTATCTGGAATTTAAACTTACTACTGTCAAGTTTAGGTTAGATATAAGGAAGAAGTTCTTTACTTTGAGGGTGGTGGGGCACTGGAATGGGTTGCCCAAGTTGTGAATACTCCATCCCTTCTGGTGTTCAAGGCTGGGTTGGACAGTGCCTTGGGCAACATGGTCTAGTGTGAGGCATCCCTGCCCATGGCTGGGGGGTTGCAGCTAGATGATCTTAAGGTCCTTTCCAACCCTAACTATTCTATGATTCTGTAATATTTTAACGTTTTAGTTTTGTGTAGGATACTAACATGCAAAATAGAGTAAGGATTAATGTGAGTTATTTGATGATGTATTCAAGTATCTGGTTAAGTAGCTGTGCTTACTTTACCAAGAGAGAAATCTGTTTTAATTTTGGTGGATAATATGGCTGTAGAACAAAGGTTCAGTGTATTGCTTTATCATATTCTACAAATTAAATAAAAACTTTGATAAACTAATTCAGTTTTTTAAATGATCAGGAATACTTAAGCGTCATGTATTGTAATATCTCAGAACCCCCCCCCAGAACAATGTAGGCCTTCTGTCTTGAGTAATGTTCCATTTACTTTCTGAAAAGACTGGCATGAAGTATGCTTGTAATCATTTGAGTATGTGCAACATTGTAAAGGTACTGTGGATTTCTGATTTTAGTTATGAAGAGGTTCAAACCAGGAGAACCCTTGAGTATTGCATTTCTTAAGTGATATAATTAATTCTTGCCTTCTGTGATTTTTTTTTTGTTTGTTTTAAATCTCTTTAAGTTATTAGATGTCAGCTATTTGGGGCTGCGTTATCCTGTTTTCAGCCCAAAATGTTTCTAAAGCCTTTAGTGCATAAATACCAACCTTTGGGTTTCAAACCTCATTCTTTTGCAAACAAGTTAGCTCCCCAAGGATTAATAAATAAACAAATACAGCTTTAGATAACAGTGCAAAGCCTTTTTAAATGTTGTATTTGGTACTTCTGTTGAATTGTGGGTTAAGTGACATTTTGAGGAAACACAGAAGTGTAGTGCTTCTGTTGTTTGCTGCAATATATAATGTCTTCTGGGCAGAAATAAAGCTCATTTGAGCAGTGGAACTGTGAAGTTTTCTGGTTTAATAGAAGCAACATGAAGATTTTTTTTTTTTGCCTAATTTTCAAGTTTTTCGTAGTGGCTTCAAAGTATTATCTTCTCTTAGGAGACAGTTTCTACCTCTACTGCCTGATTTGCTGTTTAACTTGAGGCAATCCTGAGCTGGTAACATAGTAGAACCTACTTTTCATTTTAATTAAGACAGTTTCTTAGCTCGTGTTATAGTTACAGGTTGCAAAATAAGCATGTCTGTGATTAAGACAGTATTTTGAAGTATAAATTGAGGCAGTAATTTTCAGGAGAAATTCTAAATGAGTCTTGTTTTATGCAGAATCCCAGAATAGGTGCTTTCCAACCCTAACCACTCTGTGATTCTGTGATAATACTTGTGCACTTGGTTTTTCATAGGTACTTCTTCTCTCTTTTTTTTTAGTTGCATGGAGAAAAAAAAAAAAAGTATTTGGATATTATAGAGATTTTCTTAGAACTGGAGGTCTAGAATCATTTGATCATCTTGATCCTATGAACAGTGTTCTCATCTCTGGGAACAGTTGAACTTCCTAACCCATGCATCAGTGCTTTTGTCTTGAATGTTACCAGAATGGCTCCATCAGCAGTATCCTTCAGTAAAAACTTGCAGAAAACTCCACAGGGTGTTGGACTCCATGCTTCACTGTTGAGTCACCTAAAAATTTGAACAATTTTAATTCTCATAGTGGAAATAATAATTGCCAGTTTTAAATCATTTGAATTAACAAACTCTACCCTAACGGTGGATGCTTTAGCAGATATTTGAGGCTGAAGTGAAATTTGTGACATAGCAATATTTTTTTCTTTTCTAATTAGGTTGAAGCTGTATCAATAGCTCTAAGCAAAAATGATGGCTATCTACAAGATATCTTTTCAGGGCAGTGCTACAATTTTGTTTGTATAAATGTAAGTATTAAGGATGCATGCTTTTAATTTTCCACATGAACTTATTATTAATGGTAAGTAATAAATACTTATTTGAATAGTTGGTCGTTATTTCTGTCCTCCTGGTGTATCCATTCCAATACTTGGTGTTTTTCATGCGCACCAAATCAGACGTTTGAGATAGACCAGTACCTTTGAGGTACTGCTCCGTCCTTTCTCTTCTTGTTCTGCACTTTTGTCAGTATGTTGTTAAACCAGCCATGAATTCTAGAACAAGAGGAATGCAACTGAAATTAGTTTAAAATTTCCTTTCATAGATATTGTATTGAAGTGAATGATCTCAAGAAGAGGCATATGTGTAGTCATCCAAATGTGGATTGTCACCATGGGCTAAATTAGTGTTTCCCATTTTGGACACATGCATGCCATACAAATCTGTGTTTGGGTCCATGTATGGGAACAGGAAAGTTTTAGGTGAACCATATCTGAGACCAGTGAGGACCCTTAAGCTTGTTACATATGTATTTGGGTATATTGAGGGTAGAATTAGTTATCTCCATTTTTCCTTTTTTTTTTTTTTTTTCCCTAACAGCTGTAACTTTACCTGTTGCAAGTGTTACAAATACATTAAAACTGACCAAACAAAAACCCCTAAACAAAAAAGTAATGTATCTATTTTTGGTATATAACAGATCTTTGAATTCAGTTTTTATTAAATCATCGTTTGATGTTTCAGTAATTCTGAACATTTACTTTCGTTTAGGATAAAAAGTATGCAATTGAAGAAACCCAGAAACTAGTGAATATGTTGGAAAAATCAAATATTCCTCTCTTATATCCAGTTGTCCTTATTTCGGTGGGTAACTCCTGTAAGTTACTATAGAAAGCATCTAATGAAATATTTTTAAGTGTTAGACTAGCTTTAAACTGCTGCTAGCTCTAGATAAAATTGTAAATTTGAACTGTAACTTGGATTGTAAAGAGCCTAGTTTGCACTTCAGCAGATGTGCTGCATGCTGTCAGGAAATAAACCAGCACTGGCAAATGACAGTTTATTAGTTATGTATTTTTGTGAAAAACTCATTGTGGCTAGTCATATTGAACTGCTAACTCCTGCTTTGCTGTTGTGCTCCATCTCTGCTGGGGATGCTGCAAATGATGCAAAAAAAGTTGAAACGGAATTAGGTGGCTTTAGTTTTTTCTGTGCTGTGTGGTTTATTCAAAGTTTTAAAATTATTTTTACTTTTCTGCTCCAAGTATTGAAAAATAACTTTGAATTAATTTGCAATATAACTTTAATACATACTTTACTTATTGGGATGTTGTAAGACTGAAAAATCTATACTGGTATGTGGCAAAAGTTTTAAATTGTATTTTTGGCTGAAAGTCTCATTATTTTAATATTGCAGCCAGAATAATTTAACAGTTCATGTGCGTGACAGCTGAAGGTGTACATGACTTTTATACTCACACTGTTAAAAAGGAGAAAATACGAGTCAATTCAAAAGTCTTCATGCAGCGTAAGCAGATCCAGTTAGTTCTGTCGTGTTTTCTGGCTTAATAGGTAGGGATCAGAAGTATTGGGTGCAATGAATGTCATTATGCCATATGCCTCTGAACTGAAGGAGTGTGCCTCTGAACTACATGTATTATACCCTCAGCAATAACACAGTATGTTACGATTTTAAATATATACTTCCATATATGAAGCTATTGAAAAAGGAATAAATATTTATAATACATGGGGCATGAAGTGCATGGTCTAGTGATCTGGAAGTAAAACTAAGTATTTACTTTCCAATCTTAGGCTTAGCCTGAAATGTAGGTGATGAAATTTCATTACTGAGCTAACAAATGAGGTATGAAGATGAATTACAAAAAAAAAAAAAAATATCCTTACCTGTTGTATACTGTTGGAATGAGCTACTGATTCTGTGAGCAGAGATATTTAGTACTTTATTTCTAGACCATCTTTTTCTCTTGACCTTATTTCTGAGGAAGTTCAGGGTAGAGCTTTAATTTTACTGAATTTTCAAAGATAAATTATTTCTCCCTTTGATAATCAGAGCAATGACCCCTGTCCAATTCTGTTGCCCATTTACAAGGATGTGCAGAACACTTTTCTGGAGCGAGAATGTTTTAATTTGTCTTTTATCAAGAATATAAAAAGACATTTCTGTGTTAAATTTTGGGGGTGTGCAGATAAAGTTGGAATTGCTAATACTTATTTTGTTCCGATTCATAGCTCAACTCTGCTCTGGACTTCAAGTGCTTTTTTAGTGTGACACATGGACGCATTGTTTTAATAATTACAAACATTCTGGACTTAATATTTCCTGAGAAATAGGTATGAATTCAAGGAATGTTTACATAAACTCACCATGAAGCTCCTAAGATTTTGCCCCTAAGATACTGGATCTCAAAATCATTATAGAATCCAGCACCATTTTCAGTGAAAGTGAACTTGCTTGAACAGCCTGCAGCATGTACAAATTATTTAGGTGGACACCTTTTGAAATGGTCTCTGGATAAAATAATACATTTAATCCCTTTACTGTACTCCATATCCATCAGTTGTTCATGACAACTACCTGAAATTTCCCGAAACTAGACAGTGGGAGAAAATCTCATAAATAGGTCAAAACACTTGCTAACATTTAAAACACGGATACACATATATTTGTTAAAAGTATCTTCAAATAATGAAGTACCCTAATTATAAAAAGGCATTTTATGCTACACTTTGAAATTTTATGGAGTTACCACACTATCTTTTAGAAATACAAAAAGGAAAAAATAGGATTGGAAAGTATGTTTTAAATGACTAAAGAACTAGCTAAACAAAGCATTGTCTCGTCTCATATTAATCACTGGGAACTATTTAAGTCCTTTAAACTTCTGATGCCTAAAACTCATTACAGATGTTATGGCTGGGGGATAGAAACTTCCTTCTGCAGTCTTTAATTAAATTCAGTGTTGGGTGTCCTCTTCACTAGGGCTTATGAGTGGGATTCTCCTCAGCTTTATTCTTTGCTCTATACTTCATTTAATATAAAACCTGAATACATTGGTAATGAAAAGCCCCATAAGACACTTTCTTTTGACGTAAAAAGGCATATTAATATTTCCCAGGCAAATGCGACTCAGAATTTTAAGCAACATGACGATATTAAATGCACAGGTTTTAAGTACTGGTTGTACAGGAAACATTATTCATTTTTACTCTGAGAAGTAAAACTGTTCCTGGTAGTGAAGAGCTGAAAGGATAAATGTGAAGAGCAGCTAACTGCTTCCACTTTAACCTCATGATCTGAACAGTCTAATATAGACTTCTGCATAATTGGAAAGTTCTTGTCTATTCTTTGATTTCAGGACTTGTAACTTTTTGCTAGCAATCTGATACTTAAGAGAATCAGTTTTATTTTTCCATCAGATACTCAGCTTCTTTAGTTGTAAAAATGACAGGTGTTACTATTGTGTTTAACCAGCCTGGGGAGAATTGTCCCTGTGAAAGGCTGTGCTTACAGTATACATAATGACTTCTGACCATATTCCCACCTATAAATTGCCGCAGATTTCAAAGTCTGTCCTTTTTCCCAGTACCTGACTGGAATTTTTTGTGGCATCTGTATGCTGAAGCAGCAGTTGGACTACTGTATCTGACATAGCAGAAAAGGGAAGATTAATGTTACAAGAGAAATAGGAAGCACAGAGGTAAACTTCATGCAATTACTTGTCAGTATCAAACAATTATCCTCTCCAACTCTAACAAGAAGAATCGTATTCTTAAACTGACATTACCTTTCTGAGTAATACATGCTCACATTTGTAGATTTTCTTCTGTTGTTCTTATTACTTAAGCTTAGAAAGAAAAGAATGCTAGTACTTCAGCTCTGTAGTTGCCATTATTTGCATTTCACTACAAAATTAAGTTTGAGTAAAATATCTTTTTAAAGCTGTGGAACAGGTTAATGGCAAATAGGTGTTAGGTCATATTCTCTCAGAATAATAGGTGTTAATATTTCTTGTAATTAGCTGTAAATGAGCATTACTTAGCATTGATTTGGGTAAAATTAAAAATAATGAGTGTGTGAAATTAAGCTCTGCCTGCATAGTAGAACACAATAGCTTTGCTCCTGGTGAATGTGCACTTAGACAGTAAACGTCTTTTTAAAAGTGTTGCCAGGGAAAATGAGTAAAAAACTAGTATCTGTCAGGATAAATTGAATATAATGTACAAAAAGAAATACTTTTCCCAAGCACAGCTCTCTGGAGCTCCTACCTCTCTGTAATACTTACAGATATCAGTGGAATTGTTCATCCAGAAAAATATTTTCTTTCTTTTAAGGCGAAAGGTATTTCAGCTATTAATAGATGCTGAAACTTCATATGTCCATATCATCCTGCATAATTTTGATTTCTGCAGTTAATAGAGACTTCATCAATTAAACTGTTTAAACTGAGGAACACGTCAGCCTTGGGAAAGGGTTGCGCTAGTTGATACCTTCCTGGAGATACCAGTTCAGCTGCACAAACCCACTGTGTGCAGCATCTCTGCTGGATGCAAGACCTGCCTTCCCCTGCCCAAGAGCTCAGGAACCTGTAGTGCAGATACAGTCTTTGCATCTTCTTAACTTAGTCAACAGGAAGCAAAACTATTCTTTTGAATAGTTTCTGCTTTTGAACTTGCAATGTTATCCTGAAATTAATCTAGTTTAGGCAATTTATATGCTATACTGAAAAAGTAGTAAATTCAAAATAAATCTTTAAAGAATGCAGTTCCACTTTGAAACCTTGAAGATGCGTAAGAAAAACACCTCTATTTCTCCAGTATTGTGAGAGTAAATAAAAAAAAAGGACGAAAAAACCTTGAAAGTTAGAGCTTCAAAAAGAATGTTTGGTTTTTGATGTAATTAAATATTTTTAATATGCAATTAGAACATTCTCTTCTGATGTGTTCTGGCTTATTGGTTCACTGTGCTTTGGAAAGAAATAATTTTCATGTCACTAAATATGTAACTAGTGGAATTCAATGGTAATAAAAGCTAACTAAGACAAACCTTTGTTAGCCTGTATTTTTATGTGTGCTTAACACATAAAAATGAGATACTAAAAACTGGCTGTCTAAAATAGTGCACTATGGAAAAAGCAGATTTATTTTTTTCATTTTTTTTTAATTCTTTATTTCTTACTCTTAAGGTGCACTTGGGTGTTTCAGAAAATACTTCTTGCAGTATTGGTATGGAAGAACTAACTAGGATCAAGAAATTTGCAAGGGAAGTGAAAAAGAAAAATATTTTGCTTTATGGAATCCTTTTTCAATATAAGGTATGTAATTTTTTCTACATGAAAATAGTCTTTTCTGATTTATATGATTAATGATAGAATCTTCATTTAAAACAAAATCAAAGGGAAATAAATAAGACATGAAAAAAGGTTTTTTTTTTGAAGATTCTTGCCTGTTCATGTTCAAAATTCAGAAGAGCCTGTAGTTATGGGCAAAAACGCAAGCATTTTGATTAGAGAGGTATAAATGGTAAACATTTTTTGAAGCACACAAAAATGTTCTGTCCTTTTTTCTGTTTGCTTTTCTGCTCTGAAACTTGCTTTTTTGCAGCATTAAAAAGTAAAAAATTAAAAAATAGTAAAAGTACATTTTATCAGTGGTTCTGCAGAATTTTACGTTCCTCATCAAAACAGTGTTTGGTATTCAGGTGGCAGAAAGGGCATGGCATATAGGTGTTGAAACAGTGTCGATCTCAGCAATAGCAGCAGATCACATCAGCTGGAGGCACAAAGGGTTAGCACTCCAGCATCCTTTGTACTGACACTTATTTAGTTAAACCATTTTGCCTGGGAATCATGTTCTGCCAAAATGAAAAGCGGGCTGCCTTTTCCTCCCGTGCGGGTACAGTCTTTGCAGCTTCTTAACTTAGTCAACAGGAAGGGAGAAGTTCGGTATTCAATGTAAATTTTAATAAAGAGGAATAAATGTAATCTGGACTGTTTTTTCTTCAGGATTTTTTTTTTTAGGCTTTTGGGTTTATATCTAAATGATTTAAAATGATTATAGTTATATACCTTCTTCTGGTATACCAAAGACTTGATTTTTCCCTCCAAATTCTGTGGCTTTGTTGAGATCAATGACTATCAATACCTATCAGTTTATGCTTTTGCAGACTTATGATGCCAACAGAATACAGATAATGCTATTGTGTGGCATTAGTTTATCTCTTGTTTGTATGACATACAAGGGCATACAGTTGTTTTCAATCTTTTCTCTGGTACTATCAAACTCCATTTTTTTTCCAGAGTGAATTCTGGTTTCCTTGGTAAAAATAATTTGAATTATTATTGAAACGTAGTTCTAGGAGGCACATTATCATGGTAATGTTGCAAAGATTGCTTTAGTGTAGCTATAGTTTTTTTTTTTTTAAACTTAATTGGGTGTGTATAGGATTTTTTTATGTAAATGGATCAAATATACAAATGTGGAAAACAACAGTTAGTAAAGGTGACTAGAAAATAAAGAAAAAGTTTTCTAATCTTCAGTGGATTTTTGTGACTATGGCAACCAAACATCTAATGAATGACAGGCATGTGTAACAACAGTATGGGATCTGAATGAAATTCTTGATCCTTGGAGGCGAAAGAATTGTAGCAGAATGCTGCTTCTATTTTTTGAAAATAAAAAGCTAGAATGATTATGTAACATCACTGCAGGCAGAGTTACTTTTTGTTAGCAAGGAAGAAGTATTATATAGTCAAACACTTCACAAAGTAAGTAAATTACTAGCTATCTTGTTTTAAAGTGGCTTTAAAACATGTCTTGCTTACAAAGATGGGAATGGAGTCTTGAGTTCCTGCTTATCTGTGTTTTGATAGATGATTGACAAGTAGGTTATACAGACAATGTGTATATATGTGATATATGTATCAAGTTTTCTTTTGGTTGTAGATCTGCAAAAAACATAATAGTTTCTAGACCTATGGAAAGATTTGACATATGAATCTAGAAATTATAAAACCGAAACTTTATTGCTTGTCTGGAGAAAAGGGGGGGGGGGGGGGCACTATGAACAAAAGCAATTCATTAAGAAAAGGAATATTCCAAAAGTTTTGGTTGTTTATTTTTTCTGTGGGTTTTTTTTTTTCCTTTTTCTTGTAGTTGTTGTTTTGGTTTGTCTGTGTTTTTTGGTTTTGTGTGTTTTTTTTGTTGGTTTTGGTTTTCGTTTTGTTTTTTAAATTCCAAAGCATGATTTTGGTCACCTAGGTATTTTTCTTTTAGGGCAACCTATTAGCCAGCAGGTGAATCCATAGGTGAATTACATGCTTGAGGATAGAAAGGTGAATACAGACATGATGGGGGGTCCATAGGAAGTGGAAACACAGAAAGCACCTGCTGTGTAACACAGGATACTCAGCCCATTGTCACAATAACTTCTGTCAGTATCTGTTTTCCAGAGGTCTCTGAAAGCTATAGTTTATTTCAGGAAAAGAGTGATGACAGATTACCTTACGGAGCTTCCCACTAGCTGACAGGTTTATATCATCGCTACCAGACATGTACAGTTGATATATACAAACAGGGATAAAATGTAAGGAATGAGGAATTCATTGAGACAACTGATCATGGTAATGCTGAGGTGAAGTTATTTTACATTTAGAAGGGTTATATGATGAAGTGAGTATGATGATATGTTGCTATAAAACAATATGGAGGCACTCTTTTAAGATTCTGCATTAGAAAAGTGAATTTGTTGAAATAAATATTGTTGCAGATACGTAGTTGGTTTTTAGGCTTTGGAAGTGGAAGTGAAATATTTTTGGAACCTAGGAGTACATTTTTGACAGTATTGGAGGAAATGTGAAGCCCGAAGTAGAAGTATGTCTTCATTTTAATTTCTTAAATGCAGTGTTTATTTGGTATATAGAAAAAGGTATCAAGTATTTCTGTGAATATTTGATACTCCAAGAAGCTAATCAGGAGAATTAAAGGAAAAGGTATTAATGTGCTTTATAAATAACCTGCTTGGTACCTCCCATTTGCTCAAAATGTGTGCCTGTTCACACCTTGTACACAAATAATTATTTCGCTTATAAGCATCATGCTGGAATACAGATTACTGATACTGATTGAAAGTTTGGATCCACTTCATAATAGCTATAGTTTGCATCCTGAAAGTATTGTTGTTTTAAATGTCACTCTTGAAAATATTTTCAAAGAATCTTTTTTAAAACAGTTCCTACATTTCTATGTTTTTAGAAATTGTTTATGTGTGCAAAACACAGAGAGGAAGGAGTATTTGCTAAATTCCAGAGTCTGATCTTGTAGAGTTAGCTTTTAAGGGGGTTTCAGATGAGTTGAAGGAAACAAGTGATAAGCAAAGTGAATTAAAAATAGGGAGAAAAAAAGCAAAGTTATTCTTAAACAAGGTTTTACTTAAAAGGGGTGTTAAGAATTGCAAAGAAACCAACAAATACAAAAGGTAATGTCAAGACATTTTATCCATGCAGGGCTGGAAATATATTAATCTTAAAAGCATTGGTTTATGTAATTCAAAATACAAGATTTGGGAGGGAACCTCAGCTGCATGCGGTAGTTATTGATCTGTGTTCTGAGCAATAGAATAATACTGAGCATGGGCCTTCGCCTCACAAACACACATGCATTGCTGCCTTTAAGCATATGGTAGGTAGTTTTATGGGTTTATACTTGAATATGACGTTAATGCTTTCTAAAAAATGCTATTTTCTCTGTTTAATGCTATTTTCCCTTTTGAAATAATGTCTTATGACTCAATTACAAAAACTAGTCAATACACTTAGAAAATACAAGCAGCATTTCTGCATATTCAGAAGCTTGTAAAGGTTGCAATAATGAAATCTTGGTCTAGAAATTTCAGTAATAAGTTTATTACATTTCACAGAGAATAAAAAGGAACAATTCTCATCCAAAATAAAGCATGCATGGGTGGACATAGGAAGTCACAGAAAGCTTAAAATATTAAGTAATACTAATATATCTTGGTTATAGAACTATATTAATTTTAAATAATCCTACTTCAGAAAGGCACTGACAGAATGTAGGGTCAGAACAGCAAGTATGTGCCAAGGCTTGCTTGGGGTAAGGTGGCCCCATATACTTTTGCCTCTGAAATCGCTATTTGATTTAGGTAAAGGAACTATTCACTGACAGCCAGAAAAATCACAGTCCGTACTCTAATAAGAGACAAATGACATGATAGAATAATTACGAAGCTGCTTAAAACTAGGAGGAAACTAACTGTGGGTGATTTCTAATGCAAACATACTGGACATTTATTGTACTCTTTAAGACTTTATGAATACAATAGGCCCATATACAGTATGCTTGATGGCTCAAGAAACGAGTGCTAAATATATTTTCTGTCTGGCTTGGTAGACCAAAAAGGTAAATGCTTACAGCTTTCTTTTACATCAAAGATCCCTTAAAAATAGTATTAAGTGCAGACATTAAGGCAGTGGTTCTCAAAACAGGGATCACACCCCTGAATGAGATCATCCAAGTGGCAAAGTAGAAAGTATTTTGGCAACCAGTAGTAGAGATAAGGAGCTTGAAGGGCAAATGAGGTAAACTCACAAACTAAAAGTTTTGTAATTGTAGAAAATAAATGAGTCATACTCTCCATGACCCCTCCATGCTTCTCAATCTAATAATCAACATAGGATTGGTCAAATGACTGTAATCTGATTAGAATGAGTGGGATGCTGCCTGGAGACCTCTCTCTTCTCAACATGACACTTTTTTAATTTCAGCTGCAGTAACATAATAGACTGTAATGGATCTGGAAACCTACATCTATTCATGGAAGTCTTTAATGCCAAATAATTACTGTCTAGTATTTTCAAGAGCCAGAAACTGAACTTTTGAGTATCATGATCCTGTAGACTATTCACTCTTTCATCAAGGAAAATTGGGGAAATGAGTGATGAGCCAGAGTGATGTTGCTTGCACAGTGTGTGACAGAGAGGGAAGCGACATCCAGTTTGAAACTTTCTACATGAGTAACCTCATAGAAAACAGTTTATTAATACAGAGGACAACTGGTCATTCAGTAAAACCAGAGACTGATATTTATGAAGACTGGACACTGTTTAATCCTTACTTATTGCTACCATTTGTAATTAGTCATGCATATTTTGCAGTAGTTAGAACTGACACGATGAAAAAGGTTTATAGACACTGACTTCTGAAAACTACAAGTAACTCTTTATGCAATTTTCAGTGAACAAAAGATACAGAACTGTGGGTTCTATTAGCTTGATACTCAAGAATTCAAACATAA